ATAAATAACTGTAATGTCTATTGATTTCTCTTTAGAATCAATGAGAGATAATACGGTTAGGAAACATTCTGATGCTGGCCATATATTTTCCTCCCTGTAGAAAGGAACAACTCACAGTTTTCAAAGGAATTACACAAAATTAAAAAGTTCCAGAGGAGTCCCAATTTCTTTACCATATGTTTATCAATTTTCTCTTAGGATAATAATTGGTTATGGTACTTATCCCTTCGGTAATAATTGTTCTGTATACTCTTTGTATTCAAGCTAAAAAAAATGCACCTGAGATTATTGTTAATGAGATTCATTGGGCATTCACATTGAACTACTGATTTGTCTCAAAAGATGGTAACAATAGCAATAGACTCTCTGCTTTCTCTGCTTTGGCCATCTTGCAATGTGAGGACCCTGGGTCACTGTCACCACCTCCAGAGGGACTTTGTACTTCCCAGCCTCAGAAACTAAATACCACAGACATCTGGTACCTGTATGCTGATAGTTCAAGTGGGAAATCTGGTGACATGGCTGACTGACATCCTGACTCCTTTCATTTCACTCATGGGACCAAATGTACCTTGGTGTTCTGGATTCATATGAATGGTGCCACAGTCAGTTCCCTCAAGGTACTCACCAAGAAAGGCAATGCTACTTTTAATTTGTGGGCTCAAAGTGTTCAGCAAGGGGCACAGTGGAAGAAAGTAGAAGTGTTTTTAGGCATTCATGTACACACACAGATTGTCTTCAGAGCAAAATGTCATGTCAGTTACGTGAGAGATGTAACGGTGGATGATATTTCCGTTCAAGATTATCCCCCTTTACTTAGCCCAGACAGAAAGTGTACTGCTCAAGAATTCACGTGTGCTAACAAGCACTGCATTGCCAAGGACAAGCTTTGTGATTTTTTGAATGATCGTGCTGATAATTCAGATGAGAGTCCTTTCATTTGCAGTACCTCCAGTGGGCGCTGCAATTTGAATTTGTTCTTTGTTCCTGGGAGCAAGAGCAGGATGAGGACATTGACTGGAATCTGAAATAGCAGCATCCCTGTTGCAGGCACCGAGCCAGCCGCAGACAACACCTTGAGAAATTCATATGGTCATTATATTGTTATAAAGAGCTCGTATCCTCAGCAGCCCATGAGAGTGGCCAGAATTTCAAGCCCAGTTAAAACTAAGAGAAGCAAAACCTGCAAGATCATTTTTCATTATCACATGTATGGAAAGGGCATTGGGGCACTCACCTTGATCCAGGTATCAGTCTCAAAGCAAAGGAAGGTCCTGCTTAACCTCACTATTGGACAAGACAATTTTTGGCAGAGGAAAGAACTATCATTGTTTGGTGATGAAGACTTCCAACTCAAATTTGAAGGTAGAGTTGGGAAAGGCCACGGTTGTGATATTGCATTTGATGACATTGTGTTTACATGGAATTGTCTATCATCCCATCACCCCATGAATCCAGTGCTGCCTGCACCATGATCTTTTGGTCTTTCATATCTGCAAAAGCCACAGGGTCTATTCAGGTTCTCGTTAAGACAGAAGAAGGGGGCTGGCCCAGCCCCGTGGCGCACTCGGGAGAGTGCGGCGCTGGTCGGGCAGCGATGCTCCCGCCGTGGGTTCGGATCCTATATCGGGTTGGCCAGTGCACTCACTGGCTGAGTGCGGTGTGGGAGACACCACACCAAAGGTTGTGATCCTCTTACTGGTCACGAAAAAGACCAAAAAAAAAAAAAAAAAGACAGAAGAAGGAACATTGAAAGTATGGCAAGAAAGTGATAAAAAAAATAAATAAATAAAAGGGCCGGCCCTGTAGCGCACTGCTACAGTGTGCCGCTTCGGAAGGCAGCGGTGCTCCCGCCTAGGAATGCAGCGGCGCTCCCGCCTAGGGTTTGGATCCTGCATACAGACCGGTTCCCGCTCACTGGCTGAGCTAGATGCGGGAGCAACACCGAGGGTTGCGATCCCGTTGCCGGTCTTGGTCCAGTATGGGCGCGACACTGAGGGTTGCGATCCGTTGCCAGACACGAAAAAAGACAAAAAAGACAAAAAAAAAAAAAAGAAAGTGATCAGAACCCTGGTAATGATTGGCAAAAGGCTGTCATCCTGTTGGGAAATTTAAGAAATTTTGAAGTCATATTTCAAGGTATCAGAACAAGGGAATTGGGAGGAGCTTCAGTTGATGATACTGAATTTAACAACTGCTCCACCTTGGTTGAGACTTCTGAGATTTGCACAGAAGCCACTGCTTTTTTGTGCCAGGACAAGAAGTGTATTGCCTCCCACCTTGTCTGTGACTACAAACCACATTGCTTGGATAGGTCTGACGAAGCTCTTTGTGGACAGTATACAAACACAACAGGAAGCTGCAGTTTTGAAACAACTTCAGGCAACTGGACTATGGCCTGCAGCCTTACTCAAGCCTCTGAGGATGACTTGGACTATTCTGTTCTCAGCAGGATTCCTGCTGAAGCATCAAGTCCAGACTCTGATCACACACCAGTAAAGGCCACATGAGGACACCGAAGTTGGACATCAACAAGTTAAGAAGAGAGAACTAGGGAGAAACCAAACCTGCTAAAACTGTGGCCTTGGACTTCCAGCCTCTAGAATTATGGTAAAATAAATAAATTTCTGTTGTTGAGAAAAAGAAAAATTAGCAAAAGAAATTCACAGATTAAAAAAGGTGAAATGACAATTCATTCCATAATTTTTTTTATTAAAAAATAATTGATTATGTGCCGGCCCGGTGGTGCACTGCTACAGTGCACCGCTTGGGAGCGTGGTGGCGCTCCCGCCGAGGGTTCGGATCCCACATACAGACCGGTTCCCGCTCACTGGCTGAGCGAGGTGCGGGAGCAGCACCGAGGGTTGCGATCCCGTTGCCGGTCCGGTCCGGTACGGGTGCGACACTGAGGGTTGCGATCAGTTGCCGGACACGAAAAAAATAAAAATAAAATAAAATAATTGATTAAACATGTTTCAGTGTTACAGAGTTGAATATCAATACCTGTGTACAATGTTTGGTGATCAAATCAGGACAATTAGCAAGTTCATCATAAAAATAAATAAATAAATATGGATGGCCTTTAATGGTATGCTTTGTTGTGCAATTTAATGATTAAAGGTTTATCATTTCATTGCTTAAAGTTTTGTTCCAGAGGGTTTATGATTGCAAATAGGCTTTACCTATCTTCCTTTATGGCAATAATATTTCAGGGCAAGCTAGATAAATTGCATTCAGATGCTTAATCACTATTTCAGTTAGAAAGTTACTACTTAAGAATGAATTTGCATATCATGACAAAGCTCATAAACAGAAGTTTAGTGGTATCCACTTTAATATTACAAAAAAGACAGTGTGTCATCAATTCTAGGCAACAAGGTAATAATTCACTGAAAGCTACAGATACCAGAAATAAAACAAAACAAACAAAAATAAAATGAAATTTAAAAAAGGACAAGGAATAGACCCACGAAAGGGATAAAATGACAAATTATGGAGATTAATTAAAGACTTTCGGTTGCTAAATACACAATCAATGTCTAAAAATGTATTTTGCTGTACCTAACAACATCATAAAATATTTAGATATAATTAAAAAGCATTTACAATATACAAGGCTCTTCAAAAAATATATATCTAAAATTTGTGAAGAAATTACAAAATATATAAAATATTATGAAAGATCTTAAGCAATGTCCATAAACAGTGATACCATAGTTATAAATATGACTTATATGAAGATATATATTTTTAATTTTATTTATTTTAATTGATTATGAATATTCATGAGATAGAATGCTGATTGTTACCCCTTACGCCCATGATGTGGGGGCAAGATTCACACTGGCTCTGTATCCATTACTACAAATTACATTTTTACCCCATGTCCCCCACCCAATTATCTCCAACCTCCCTTCCCCTCCCACACTCCACTTTGTTCCCAAGGTATCTTCTCTCCCTCTGCAAGTCCAATGCACT